TTCAGCTGCCTTACCATGGTGTAACCTGAATACAATGGAGGGGAAAAAGAAAAGCATGGATTGTGATGTTAGTTTATTAAATAATGTGTGTCAGGTAAGCAATTTTTTTTTATTTTAAAATATTTTTACCTAAGTTTACCAACCATGTTTCTCTAAGCTGACATATCTAATTGGAACTGGCAAGCGTACCGGTGGGCTCTTGCAACAGGAGGGACAGTCTGCGTCCAAACTAGAACAATTAATCATGAGAGTAGTCTGATGGGGTAAAATAGTCACCAACTGCTTAATGTTAAGCTTTGTGCTTAATGCTGGCTGCAGGTCAAGTGAAGTATGTGAAGCACGCAGGTCAGTTCTGAGTCAGTTGGACACCAGCTGCTACTGAAAGGGTGTCTTTGCAAGTGTGAACAAATATTTTGGGGTTTCTTTTCCTAAACATAATCACCCAATGATAATAACTCCTCCGGAAAACTGATCAACTGACACGGAGATTCAGCTTAATACAAAGGGCGATCAGTAAGGAAAGCGTAACCGACTCCTTCGAGCGTGTTGATAAAGCTTAGAAAAAAATTTCCCCTGTGCATGACAGAAACTAATACCCCTGAAACAGCACTGATGCTGTGGAGTCTATAAACATAGTTTCCTGTGATTCTAGGGGAGAGCAAAATTTGGTTTTAAAGAACTTTTTTTTTTTTAAACTTGTGGGTTAAGTTCTTCCAAAGTGCTTTCCAGATCTGATATCCACAGCAAACTTCACTGGCTCCTTGTCACCTTCACTTGTGGTATCACGCTTAAGACAAAGAACAGCCTCTTTTAACGTAATTCCCTCCGTAACAGCCTCAGTTGCAGTGTTCTATCTCCAATAATATTCAGAAATGCATTTTGCTCATTAAAATCCCCAGACTTCTACATGCTTATATCTTTTTTTTTTTTTCATTTTCTGATGTCAGTAGAAAGAATATGGGCAGTTAATGCAAGACATCAGTCTGTAATTAAGCTAGACGGAGCTTCTCAAATTATTTGAGAAAATTATTTTTGTGCAGGCTCACCTAGGTGGCAATTTTGTCTAAAACCTGAACCTGTGACTCTAGGATTGTGAATTATTTTCATCTAAATACTGACCTTGCTTAGCTTAAACTTTTAAGGAATGACTTTTTGGAAAGTGCAGCCATATTGTGCAGGCGCTGCGACTCCTCTTCATCCATTAACAAGTAAGGCAGCCTGACATTCACAGGACTCGCTACATGTCTGATTCTTGCAAGATGCTCTCATATTTCATATTCTATCAGGATAAATGCTAGACCATTAATAATGTGAGTAAACCAGTATATTTTCATATACATATTTCAAAGCTTTGTTGTACAAATAAATATCGCTGGAAATACACTTTGATTTTAATTTGCTTGTACAGTAAGTATTCTTTAAAACAAGAGATTGTTCCAAAACCCCAAATCTGTACTGTGAGGGTATTAGAGAATGAGGTGAAATGCATGTTGCACCGAGAGCAAACGGGCCAGCTCCCACCCACCATCGCAGCGCAGGATCCTGACAATGGGCTGAAGCTGCAATCCCCAAAGAAAATAGTCCCGGAATTCCCTCTATCTTAAAGGGATTTCTTCTCTGATTTCAGATATACGCCTTTACCTCAAAGCTCAGTGAAGGACACCTGTGTAACCACCTCTGCTTTCGTGGCTGTGGAGACCATGAGCCTGCTGAGCTGTGTGCTTGGGAAAGGGCAAGTACCAAACATCCCTTTGCCTTCTTCACCCCGAACAAAAATTGTATTGAATTTCTACCACTAAAAATCCATTTCCCAGGGAGCTCCATGGCACCTGGGCAGCTCCTGTATGATCTATGCTGGGAAGACAGAAAGCAGACGCAATGGCTTTGGTTACACTGGAAGATTTGCGTAGCATTGGAGGTCAGAGCTTCTGTGTTTCACAGAGCCTTTTTCCTTGCCCTTGAAAAGACAATTCAGATTCCAAATATACAGAACAATTTGACCCACTGGTTTATGGAGAAACAGGGGCCTAGCATTTAACCTCTGGAAAACCAGTTAAAAATTCGGGGATTTCTGTGGCCAGAGCACTCATATCTGCATTGTTCAAAAGTTCATTTTTGCAAGCTTTCCATAGAGGCACTTTCAGCACATTCCAAAATGAAGGTAATTTGCAAATAACAGCTTAGAAGACTATTTGTCTACTATATTTTTAGACAGAGAAATTGAGAGAGATCAGTGATTGTGAATACTTGCATTAATGTGGCAGGAAAGACCCTAGTAACGAGGCAGAATCCCATGGTGGTAGTTTTTCCACGGATGGCTCTTCAGCCCTGTAGTTGAACCCGATGGTGGTGTTAGCACTGAGCAAACAGTGAGGGCATACAGAGATAAATTTGCTCGCTTGACCCAACGGTCAATTATAATTATGCAAAACTACAAAAGACTTAAGGGTAGATTTGATTGAGGTATATTTGCAAACACATGTTCTCCCCTCTTGGAAACGGTCCTGAGAAACTTCTAAATCAGCAAATGGGGAGCTGGCAGCATTGCCAGTCACACGAAGGGGATGAACTCATTGCTGAGGCTTCAAATGGATAAATGCCACTTCTCCTTTCAACCCACAACCGTTCTCTGCTATTTCACATTAGAGTAGAGGCTAGGCTGCTTATCAAAATAAAAAATAATACCTGTAATGCTAACTGGGCCGAATCAAGATAGAGGCAAAACTTTGCAGTCTGTACAACTCAGGGTCCTTTCACTTAAATTCTCAAACTGCATGTTCTCTTCCTCTCTTTTTTCCCCACTTACTGTACCATTTATCTAACTATTAAGATTTTTAAGAATGCAACCCTAAAAATTTATTTACACAAAACTTCTCTTAGTACAACTGGAAACAGTAACATCTATACATTCTGTTAAATGAGTAGAGAAAAATAGCTAACCTGGTTTTTTTTATGTACCCCTGTAAGTTTGGCTTTTAAAATAAATTACCATTTCAAAACATGTGAACACCTCAGCTAAAAAAAGTTCTGGGAATCAGTAATCTACTATCAACTTTATTTTTAGCTTTGCCTGACTGAGTTTCATGTCATTTGGGGAAAAAACCCAGAAGTTCCTCCCCTCCCATATACTCAGTGTTACACCGTACAATTTATAGCAACTCCAGATGGAAAAAACTTACCCTCAATTTGTTTGCTGGCATGAAGATAAATATAGTCCTCATTTCCAGAGAATGAAAACCAACTATTCCTTTAAAGCACTTTAATTTTCTATTCAAATCTGTTTTCCCATGCTTATCCGAAAGTAGCAGCTTCTTCTTTGTAAAGAAGAATGATTAAAAGACTTAGTTTGAATGCTTTCAAAATACCACACAGAATAAAACTGAAAAATTTTATTCAGAAACACAGGAAAGACACACAAAGTCATAAGATAATAAGGAAAGTGCAGAAACGGTAAGTTATCTGATAAATGTTTATAAAGTAAAAGCAGTATTTTTAGGCCCAATTCTAGACACAGGCTTCACTAATCTGACTTCGTGTACAGTTCTCTTCTATCAGCACTGGAGGAAGAGAGCCTTTGCTAACATTTTTTTCACTAAGTACGACCCCATCATCCTGTCTCATGGGTAGATCTAACAAGCTGAAATGGTCCCGCTGGACATAGTGGGGAAATTAATGCAAAGAAGAATTTCCTAAATTAACTCTTACAGAACTTTATGTGAGAAATTAGCATATGAAAGATATCATCTGTTTATACTTTGTAAAACAAGGGGCTCCTCGATGCTCATGCCAGCCATCCTTCCTGGTTCTGGAATTCTATCTGAAAATGAAAGAGAGACATAAATATTCTCACACATCTAGAGATCCAAAGGTGTAAGTGTTACTTTCTACTATTATCAACTTTGATACAGAATATCGTCATAGGAAACTCGGGCAATTTTACAAATATATTTTTCCATGCAACTGTATGAGATAAGAGCTCTGCATTAGTAAAGATTAGATTTCAGACAACTTCAACTCAGCTGCAGTGGATGAACTAACAGAAACACCAGATTCCACACGTCTTATCAGGATTCCCAGGCTATGTAACAGTTTATTGCAATATTCATTCAACTAAATAAGCAAGATAATTTCTAACATGAAAAGCAAGTTAGATGTTAAAATATGAGACTTGGAGGGTTAAGTTTATGAATGGACTTGATTACCTTAATATGCAGCCTAATTAAAATAGCTAGATAATTAGTGTTTTAAACCCACTGTCTTTAAGTCTCCACTAACATATTCCATAAACACATGCAGAAAATAATTTCAGACTATGGTTACTTAAAGGTTAAAAGCCTTAAAACTGTTGCATTTTTGTTTAGTTCAAAAAGCAGTGAAAGCTGTCATGTCTTATGATTAATCCTGAGTTTTGTAACTAACTCTAATCAATTAAATCCCCATGTGAAATTATATTGGAGTCAACAGGGCAGGGTGACCCTGCACGGAGTCAATTTCAGAACTGAGGTACAAATTTATACTTCAAAAACAATTCTTCTATACACTGAATTTGTTTTTAAAAATGGAGAAATTTCTCACAGGAATAATTATTTTCTAACAAAGAGATCATTTATAGCAGTTTTGGTATTGAGATTTTATTTCTTCAGCCCCCTCTTCTGGCAGAAGGGAAACAACATTGTCTCAATGAATTAACTGTTAAGACAAGGTGTTTAGTACTTCTCCCACACTTTTTAGATATCAATGATATCTCAGGCCTCACATTTTTCAAATTTTTGGATACAAAAGAAATAGTTGATAGTACTAACACAATAGTACTAAATTCTCACAGTAGAAAGTGAAGTAACATGCCAAGCAGACTCTTTGAAGGAAAAAACTGGACCAATGATCCCTTTCATTCTGTAGCTTAGGCAGTATGAATTGTAACTGGTCAAAAAGCAGACCAGAAAGGGAAAGAAAGAGTTAGCAGTGTTCTACTACAGAGCAATGAACTTGGAGCTTAAGATTCTGCAGTCAATGGGATGTGAATTATGTCCCCAGAAAAGGTTTATGCCCATATACAAAACTGACAGCTAAAGAGTTAAGAACTTTCTATAGAAATTAGGGAAGTTAGAACAGATGAGAAACAAAGAGATACGCCCACTATTTAACATACTTTACTGAGAATTTAGGTTAAATTCTTGTATTAAATTGCCAGTGTAGTAAGACTGTCTCTAGCTGACCCACACCAGATTTGTAATAGTATAAGGGAGTACAATTGGGCCAGTTTAACTTCTAGGAAAATGGTAAAGCAATTTGGGGGATGACCTTTCTGATACTGAGAACTGGGATATTAGTATTTTCTGGTCCTTAAGAGAATAAAGTTAAACAATTAGGTTTTTTTCCCCTTCCCTCTAGTAACTGACAAGTAGCTACAGCTACCACAAGGTAACAGGAGCTTCACAGTACCTTGCACTGTTGGGAAGTTATATAAATTTGGCTGGCTGCAATTTTTAAATATGTCTGCTTTATAAATAAAATACATTCCCATATAAGAGAGAAAGTTCTACTATTGACACATTTGAAGGCCAGTCAAGCACTTCCGAGGGCAATCAGGTTTGTATGCCGTATATGCTGTTCCATTAGCATACCGGCAGAGAGAAGCAGGCCTAAGAGTTGGTGTAAGTTGGTCACTTATTTAAACAAAGGCACATATATGGGTTGTTTTAGAAACCACGGATGGTTCTTTCTTGAGTTGGATATAGTAGGACCTTTCTTAAATGAATACATGAGCAATGGGTACGGTCAGGTCACACAGCTTAATGGTATTCTTAAGGTATAAACACCACTCTGCTAAAGAATTTTTCTTAGCAGAGGTGTCAGCTCAAAGCATTCCTTGCACAGAGAAGGAGGCACACTGTGTCCATCGGAGTGTTTATGCTGCTATAAGCATATGTATCATATAGAAAATCTAGTCACAAATAAAACTTCTGCAAAAATGACCCCATACCCACACCCACCTTTTTGATTTCTCTCCGTAGGTGGTTTGCCAAGGTTCTGCTTTGGATAATTCAGCAAAGACACTTTTGGAAAGGCATTCTGGGTATTTTCTTCTTTACCACCATGTAAGAAATGAGAGATAATTCCGTACAAGAGAGGTCTGCTTAAGAGAGAAATGACAAAAGCATCTATGAAATATTGAGCATTAAAAAACCACCCTTTCCTCAAAACTTCCGAGACCTTAATGTTTACTTCTAGAATATGTACATGTATCTTTACAGTAATTATTTAAAATACTTATGCCAAGTGTCATTATATAAATAAGCACAGACCTAAGCCCACCCTGAACACCAACACTCTCCTAAAAAGCTCGCGCTAAGAGATACTCTTAGCTAAGCTCCAGATCCCCTGTAGGTGAAGAACCGGAGCATGGTTAGCACAAGAACACAGATCCACATTCTCACTTGTGCAGTACGAAGGATCAGACTGTGGTGGGCTGCACAACCCAAACTTGATTCTTTCTAAGCACCTGACAGATTCTGACAGCACAAGCTACAGAGAACACTGAACGTGTTTAAACCTGCTTCAGCACCCTAGCTCATTAATGCAGTCGTATCGGAACATTGTGAATTTATATCTAATCTCAGAGTACAATACTTTTTTTATTGCTCTACAAAGCAACTTGCTGATATGCAAAGAGCATATCTGTTTTCTGCTTCTGACTGTAGGGAAGACCGTACCGGTAAGAGACTTGTGTTTTGGTGTGCAAATACACTATCTGGAGAATGCTATAGAGTTGGCAGAATTAAATGTTAGTTTTGAGTATGTTTGAAAATGGCCCCATGTTTGACATTGTGAGTTTGAATCCAGCATGTCAGAGCAGCCCTGTGATCTAGCCACATTTCAATTGGTGAGAACATTTATATGTGATATATAATAACACTAAAGAGAAAAATATATGCAGAACAGAATATACTGTGCATTCCAAAATCACTTCTTACACTGATTTTCCATTTGTGTCTTCGACTATGTTCAGCTCTTTGGCAAGAAACTGTCTATCCAAGGGCACTTCAGGCTGGCCAGATTCTGGAAAAGAGATTTCCCCAAAATTCTTAAGACTGTTAAGAAAAACATAACCAATTACCTTTCAAAGACTGCTCAGGAGACTTCAAAAGAGAATGAGAGCACACACCTCCCTTTTAGACTATTAGTATCTAACAGTATATTGTAATTCCAGGGAACTCACTTAAACATTAGTGCTTCATACTCATATAATTTACAATAGCATATTACAATTTTTATCTTCACTCTAAAGGAATCTAAGAAAAATATTAAAGAAGTCTTACAATATAAAGATAAATTAATCTGGCAAGCAACTCTCTCTCTAAAGAGGTACTATTATCAAACAGATTCCATACATTAACTACTATACAGACTGTCTCCATTCCCTCTTCTCAAGATGAATCTTTGTGTCTGTAATCTTACCAGAGTGAAATATACCAAATTATTAAATAGCAAATGTAATTACTGTACCTAAGCACAACTACAGATCTTCAAATTTCAAATACAAGTTAGCAATAGCTGCAAAAATAAGTAAGTGCTGTACCATATAAATTACAACTACCATTCAGATGTTGTAGTCTGAAGAGCTCTCAAATACTGGTATTTTAGCACAGCCAGTAACAGTAATACTTAACTGCAGTTGTTAAAAAATATGGACCTTCTTCATATTCTTTTTTGTTATTTAAGCTGAGGACATCTATGTTTCTGATGCAGTCTATGTGCATGAATTGCCAGAACTGCTGTAATTATGTACGTATTACTTTAAATTATTCCTCAAAGAAATTTTGTTCATTTGTAGGATTTCTATCTTTTTATTTTACCCAAATGCCAATGAGAAAAAAAAATGCAATATATGCTTTAAAAATATTGTTAGCCACTGTTCCGAAACAAAAGCTGGTATTTCAAGAAAGGAATTTTGATTTTGCAGGCTGCTAGCAAGTTTTCTTGCTCTTACATCCACTGCTCTGTCAAAGCATTTACCTCAAGGATAAGGAGCAAAGGGTAAGTTTTCTTGAAAACTAATGGTACGATTTGGCTTAATACTGCAAGTAAAGCTGTGGAGAGAGTGTTCCTATCTTATTTATTTCCAAGGGAAGACAAGACTGTGCAGCTTGGTCCCACTTACTGATTTCATGGCATCAGTGGAATTACTCAACCAAACAGTAAATGTCTATGAATACAGTGATGACAACAAAAATTCAGCCCCAATACCTGCAGTTAAAACAGATGCTGCATATTTATATTTGTTATATTCCAGGTATTCACGAATTAGTTCGTTGATTAAGAGATTTTCATGAGACAGTGGTGGCCGTGGTTCACTTTGGTCATCCAGTGCATTAAAAACTTCAGCTCTGATCCTTGCTTTTATTTGTCCAAGAGCACCTCTTTTTTCCAGTGTGTCCTTTAAAACTGTTACCATAAGAAGATCTGTTAATATAAAGCCAAACGTATTCAAGCAGCATTTATCATCCACAATATAAACATAATTTCGGCGTATTCACAGTGAAATAAAGGTATCTGCACCTGTGCCTATGTCAGTAGGTAACAACAGTAGGAACGTTACAGATAAAAATTAAGCCTTCAAAGAAATCACAATTATATTTTCTTTAGTAGTAAACATACGTTCTAGCACTTTCAGAAGTGGGATGTTACTGGACCAAGATGTTTTTAACGAGTGAAACCCAGGCCAAGATAAATGACTAGGGCAGAGTGCGTGTGGAGGCTTAGGGACGTTTCTCCTGCGGCTCCCCAACAGGCTGTGTGAGGAGCCGGCGGCCCCCATTAGCGCCCGGGGCGACTACGAGACCCATCCGGCCGCCGGATGCATGAGGAAAGCCCGGCTGCCTGCCCTTTCGGTGGCCCGAGGCGCCTCCGCCGCCCCCCGGGGCTCCCCACCCTCTCCGGCACCCCTCCACCCCACCACCTCACCACCTGCTTTGAGCTCCGCTACCGTCGCCATCGCCCAACAGCCGCGCCAAGGACCCG